TTTATATTAATTTATTTTTTAAATATGAATTAGACCTTTTTTTATTGTATTTTACTAAAATAATATTATTTTAATTTTAGACTGTTTCGCTAGGTCTGAACACTACTCTCTTATTTTCCTATTTTGATTCCTTTTTTTATTATTATTTTATTTATTTTTGCTTTATTCCTAATTCTACTTACCAACCTTATTATTCTATTTTATTGTTTCCCTTAGTGCCCTTGCATTTAGTTTTCCTTTTCAATTTAGCTTTCAACGCATGCAGTTTACTCTATCTAAGCCCTTATGCTATGCACATATGTCATGATTACATAAGGCTAAATTAGAGATGTGATGTGAACCTCTAAACTCTAAATCACTTTAATTTGATTATTAATTTTTCTAATATGTGTTTTAAAATTAACAATATATTTGTTATATTTTTTATAATTAATTTATATAAAAAATATAAATTTTAATTTAATCAATTAGTTAATTAAAAGTATTTACATGACAATAATATTAAAATAAATATTAATTTTTGTATTTTTAATATAAATTAATTATAAAATAATATACTTATTACACCATAATTTGCACCTTAACGCACATTCTAAACGAAACCCATTGATTATTACACTAAAAGGAAACATCCAATGGTGGCAGGTCAAAGTAATGTAGTCCAATATTAATGTGGTAAAACCTTAGATGTCATAACATCGGCATAAGTGTTGGTTTCTTGAAAATTATGGCGAATATGACGTTATTTGTTTATTTTAAATTAATCATAATTATGCATTTGCATACAAAAGATGAGAGTCAATCTACATTCATCACTTTGTTTTTCAAACTTTCACACTACAAGGATCAAATCAAGCTCAATTAATTTTTTTTTATCTTAATTATATTAAGTATATTCTTTCATGACATATGTATACAAAAAGCGGAAAGTATTATTGCAAATGGTTAATTATGATAAAATAAATAGTTAAGATATATATACACACAAATATTACATATTATACACATATAAAATATTAATTCTTTAATTCTTTATTTTTAATAATTGAGATTTATTATATTTTTTATATAAAAATAATTATCACTAATAAATGTAAATAAATCTCAATTTTTAAAAGTAAAAAGATATATTATTAATATTTTATATGAATATAGTGTATAAAATTTGTGTAGAAATAGAATTTTACTCAAAAATAAAATAAATTAAAAGATTAAAAATTTGAAATTGCTGGTTTTTGTTTTGGCTCTATAAATGTCAAATTAAGTTTGATGTTTGATCGTAAAGTTAAAAAACCTAGATGGGGAAGAGATTAACGTAAATATTAACTTTGGCCTTAAATAGCCAAAACTTGGTGGGCAAGAATTTGAGTAGCCTTAAACCAAGTTTGGGGAGTAAATTAAAAGGAAGAACAAAGTACAGGGAGCTGACAAAGAGATTCTTTTCATTATTTTTATGAGTTGTACATGGTCTACGTTCTGCCATTCGTGGACTGCAGATTTGCAGTATGCGGGTGGGTGAATATATATGAATATCGAATACGGCGGTCCAATTCCGTAGAGGAATCTGAGATCCCGTCCTGTTTAATATTTAAAAAATGATTTAAGAATAGTTTTTAAAAATATTTTAATATAATTTTTTATAGTATTTAAATAATTAATATTTTTTATTTATTTAAAAATTATAATTTTAAATGTATTGGTTTATTTAATAATTTTAAGTATTGTAAATATTTTAATTCTTTACCTTTAACTCTAAATTAATATTTTAAAGTTAATAATTATTACTGTAATTCAATCAAATTTTTATTAATTTAATAATCACATTGATTAAGATTAACTATATTTGCACTAGCACATAATTATTAAAAATTATTAATTTATTATAATTATTTTAAATATTATTTGTCTATCAAAATGTAATAATTTTATAAAAAAAACATATTAATTCGACTCTAAAAAATAATTAAAGTTTTAATAGTAAATTATTTTATTTTATTTAATTAAAATTTAATTTAAAATTT